TTGTTCTTATCTTGTTCTCGTCAAATCGACCCAGGCGTATGACATCGCATATTGAGGCATTGACATCCATATGGGTCAATACTTTTTGAACTTCGGCGAGATCGTGTTCTTGGCGAAATCTTGCTTCCTTCTCCATTGATTCAGGGATTCCTCGTATGCGAGTGCCATCGAGTTCCTCGGCGTGTTGCGCTGGCGGTTTTTGGCGACTGGCAATCGAGCTAGGTTGGGTTGGATAATCTGAATCAGGTTGTTTTGTGCTTAGCAGCGTTTTGAATTCGATCACTGTTTTTTTGAGGTCAGTCATTTCGTTTTCCAGGGTTTTCATTTGAGTTTCTCGAAGTTCTTTTGAGGTTGTAGTTTCATGGGCAGCTTGGGTCAAATTATCTTGACGTTTTTCTTCAACGCATTTGTTTCATATCAATAGAGCATTTTTTCCTAAGGCTGGTACTCCATTGACAGCGGCTTCACTTAGACCAGTGCAGTCTTCATTCAGGTGCATTCGACAGCCACAGCAAAAGCAGTCGAAAAAGCTTTCATTTTTAAAGATTTTCTCGCAGCACGTACTACAAGAATCAGAGACTGAATTGACCCGATTTCGGTTTTTATGTTTAGAATCTTAAAATCTTAAAAGGGACTCAGAGCCAGAGACTCGATGAGAACGCCTGTTGAAATATTAAGGTTTAGGACTCAGATTTGCGTACTTGTTTAGAATTTTCGCCGTTTAGCTCCGCGCTTCTCGGCAGCCGTTCGACGCTTCGTGCCACGTGTTTTGAAGATTCTTTTGAAGTCGGGAAAATAGTGCAGCACAGTAGCTAGAGTCCTCGACTCTATGTCAGCAGCCTGGTGCAGTTTTCGGTACTCGGCAATTAACGATTCGTCAATTCTTTCGGAAGCACTGATAATATGCTTGGTCACATCCAGGCATTTCGGGTTCGGGTTCGGGTTTTCGGGTATCGGGTCGGGTTTTCGGGTCTTGAGACAAATTTCGGGTTTCGGGTCGATTTTCGGGTTCAACAAATTTTCGGGTTCGGGTTCGGGTTCGGGTATTCAATTATGTCGGATTTCTAAAACCCGACTTTTGTTTGCTGTTTTCGGTTTCGACAAAAACTTTCCCAATTTTTCTTTTGTTTGAGGTTTTTTACTTTTTTAATTTTTATTTCTATTTCATTTCTGAACGCGATTGCATTGTACGATGAAGGAAGAGTGGCAGATATTTGAAACCAAAAATCCAAAGTTGAAAGACAAGTTTCTGTGCGGTTTCATTGACAAGAAGAAAACAGAAGCGCGGAAGTGCGTTCGTTGCAAAAGTGTATTTTGAATGAATATAGCAACAACGAGAACGACACCGACGAGGCCGATGAAGACTTTGACACATGGAATACCCGTAGCATCGAACCGTTTGATTTTTCCAATTTTGTGAATGAAATACGACAAGCTGTAAAAGACATCCGCACACCCAACAATAATGCAACCTTCATGTTTATGCAAAAACAGTTCCAGAAATCAGAACTAGATGTTGTCCTTGACAACGAAACACGATGGAACTCCACTTATTTGATGCTAGAACGTTTTCTCAAACTTCGCGGGTCAGTGGAAAAGTTTTACCACGAACGACGTTTTGATTGGCAACATTTAGACTGTTTAGTTAAGGTGTTGAAACCATTTTACGAAGTAATACTAGAGCTGCAAAAGAAAGAAATACCGAAGGACTTCGACTTCTATCTCAAGACCGTCGAATATGTGCGAACATTTGCATAAATATTGTTTTTACAGCTATTTTTATTGTTCACTGTAAGAGAAAGTTACACTCTAAAAACGCATCAAATTTATTGCGTCAACGTTCATACCATTTAATCTACCTGAAAATCGGGCATGTCGGGTATCGGGTCGGGTAATCGGGTTTTGAGATCTTTTTCGGGTTTCGGGCCGGGTTTCGGGCCGGGTTTCGGGTTTGAAATGAATGTCGGGTTCGGGTTCGGGTTTGAAGAAACCGTCGGGTTCGGGTTCAGGTTTTAGCTTATCGGGTAATCGGGTTTCGGGTTTGAAAAATGTCGGGTCCCGAAATGCCTGGTCACATCGATGACGTAACAGTCCAATGAATGTAGAAGATCGTCGAATATGTAGGGAGCACCTTTGCGTTGACAGTATCGACGCAAGAGAGGTTTGGAATAGTCTTAAGGGTTGCAATCAGTTCTTCGATTGTTTGGGGTATGTTGCCTTTTTTCGGGTGCGATGTTATTGTGTTGTTTAATAAATCGTACCAGAGAAAAATTTTGCTGTTCCTGAGAGGGTTTGATGTAAAATAATCGAGGCAGTAATCTGACGTGCTAGGGTCAAGATTCAGTCCAGGGAAAGAGTGAACAGGATCAGCAAGCTCATCTTGTTCCGATTGTTCAAGTTTATTGATGGAATGGTAAAGAGAACTTGCACCTACTATTTTGATCATAAGGTATAGAGAATAAGAAAAATAAATAAATAAAATTGGAATGAACTCAGCTGATTGGAAATTGGGATGGTGAACACAGCAAGTCGGGAGCCGTCCAGAGTGTAGTTCCACCCAGTGTCCAGTGATAAGTAATCCAGAAAATATCGTCGTGACCAATGTTTTCAACAATTCAACATTGACTATTGGGGCCACCACGACTGCCCCTTGTATTCATATTTTAACCGAATCTTGATTTTATATCCAATCATGATTTTATATCCAATAGAAATAAAGAAATTTTCATAGAAAGGTTTAGTTGTATTTGTGCCATTCCCCCGGATTGGCACAGTCAAACCCGCCGATGGAAACGAAAAAAGATGATAGAGACCTGAACAGGGAATTTGTTACTAAAAGGAGGGTTGGAATATTCGAGAAGTTAAATTGTTCAATATTTCTATTGGAGCTATAATATTTCTTTAAAATGCAAGAAAGGGCCATTTTGGACGGAAAAAAAAGAGACAAACGAATTAATCAGACGAAAATCAGTTGAAAAAAAAACACGAGAAATACGAAGCATCTTACCGTGGTAACAAGGCACGATAAGACGCTTATGCGAGAGAGGTCATACGGAGGGAACGTCCAGTAGGACATCCGGAGCGGATCCGTACCCTTCGTCACTGTAATGTCTGGGCGAATGTTACAATTTTAATCTGTTGATTTAAAAAAATTTAAGGTGTCTTTCTATCCTTCTACCTCTCAAATAATAGAGGGGTTTGATTTCAATCGCGTGTTGAGTTCTATAAAAGTTGATTGGAAATTGGGATGGTGAACACAGCAAGTCGGCAGCCGTCCAGAGTGTAGTCCCACCCAGTGTCCAGTGATAAGTAAATAAAAACAAAAGAAGAACTCCTCATTTTAGGATCTCCAATCGGCGAACTTTGCCGAAAAGAATTACTCGACGAAAAAATTAGGGAGCTTGAAAAAATCTCGGATGTCCTTGACAAACTAGACGCCCATTATGGTTTTTACCTCCTGAAAAATTGCTTTAGCATGCCAAAACTCCTATATTTTTTGCGTACGAGCCCTTGTTTTTTGCAAAATGATTTTTTGGAACGCTACGATAAATTACTAAGAAATTCGTTATGCAAGGTCACTAACGTGAAAATGGATAATAACCAGTTTTTACAAGCAGTTCTCCCGGCAGCCAAAGGTGGCTTGGGCGTTTCTTCCGCTCGTCTACTCGCTTTACCCGCTTTCTTAGCCTCAGCAGTAGGAGCGAAAGATGCCTTGAGCGAAATCTTTGGTTTGGAGCATGTGGATGGAACCTATGATGATGCGCTTAAACGGTGGTTTGACCTTGGAAAAATTGAAATGGCTCCGGAAAATGAAATCCAAAAAAATTGGACGGAGCCAATTTTTGACAGCGAAATTGCAGACTTGATTTTACGACTCGAACCAACGGACGTGAAAAGGTTCAACGCGTTCCAAGATAGATTTGGATCCCAATGGTTGAACGTCATCCCCTGCAAAAATTTAAGGTTAAAACTGTCGAACCAACAACTCAGAATTGCGATAGGACTTCGATTAGGATCAAAAATATGCGAACGGCATAAATGCGTGTGCGGAAAAGACGTTACCGAGGATGGTTGGCATGGTCTTTCTTGCCTCAAAAGTGCAGGGAGATTCTCTAGGCATTCAAACCTGAATGCCCTTATAAAGCAGAGTCTATCATCTACTCACATTCCGTCTGTTTTAGAACCACGACACCTCTACAGGAACGATCAGAAGCGACCAGACGGTTTGACGCTCGTTCCATGGGCTGATGGTAAGCAGCTCTTGTGGGATGTAACGGTAGTAGACTCCTTAGCCCCTTGTAGGATTAATGCCGGGTCTGTTTGTAACCCTGGTACGGCTGCCGCTGAAGCGGAAGAGCGAAAAATTTACATATATAAAGATCTTGTAAATGATGGATATCTTTTTCAACCGCTAGCTTTTGAAATTCAGGGCGCGGCCGGCCCCAGCACAGAAGTTTTTTTGAGCAAGCTTTGTAAGAACCTAAGCATATGCACTGAGGAACCCAGAGCAGGCAGCTTTTTAAAACAGAGAATCTCCCTGGCAATACAGATTGCGAACGCCGCTTGCGTACTCGGAACAATAAATGACAAAATAACTTTCGACGAAATTTTTTACTTGTAACACTTGTATATTATATTATCTCGTGTCGAGTTGCGTGTTCTTATTGAAGAAGCGTAACCCGTATCGATTTTAAATGAAAAGGACTTAAACACTTGACATCTTCTTTTATCATTATCACTTCCATATCTAGAAAATTCCAAGGATTTTGACTAGAATACATGATGAAGGGACTCATGACTGTAACCTCGGTTACTATGATACTTTTGACCTTCTGATTACCGAAAAACTTTCAAATTAATTGTTGATGCATTTTGTAGCTCTACTGGTACATTCCTATTCAAACTCTGAGCGAACCGTCTCTCGTTTCTGTAATTCCAAAAAAAACATAGAAGCTTACTGGGACCTGACTTTTTTGTTTCTTGAAATGATGTCTTGTTTCAGATTTATTGCGTATTGTTTATAGTTTGGTTCTAATTTAGCTATGACTTACTGCCCACCTAGCTGCAACTTCTCTCATTTTACAAAACCCAGTGAGTCTCTTTTTTTTCAGTCGATAAAATAAATCAGGTCAGAAATTATTTTGGTAACCGAAATTAATAACCTAGTCTTTCATCAATTCACCCAGTCAAAACACCAAAGGATGTCCATAAATTAGGGAAAAATAAAGTATAACGTGAAGGATAGTTAAGGGAGTCAGATGATTGGGAATCAAGCCAACCAGATAGAGAAAACTAACACCTGCACAGAATAAACCGGAGTTGAACGAAACTCAAAAGATGTCCTTATATGAGGCTAACGGTCTAGAAAGTTACTTATACTAGGCTGCGTTCACGTTCCCTTGGCTCTACAAATAAATGATTGATGAAGTGTAAAATAGATGAAATGCCGCTCAAAGTTTTATCAGTTTCGATTTTGTATGCATCGAATCTTAGTTCGTGATAAGCGACTTATCGTTTCTCGTGTTTGACATAATAATAATGAGCGTCTCAGTCCGCGAATAAGTAGATAATGACCAAAGTGTTACAATCGGTTAGGTTTAAACCTACAAATTCTAGAAGCTCAAAAACTGTTAAATGGTGTTTTTGAAAAGTTATTTTTAAGTATTCCAGTTGAGGTTTATAGCCTAAATTCAAGCAAGGTTTGAGCGGTTTATTAGATTATTACGCCCAACATCATGCTAGAGAATGGGCCTTTTTTTCAAAAAGAGTGTTGAGTGGTTTTAAATATGACTTTGTACGAGACGTAATCAACCTTGACAACTATTTTTTTTCGACCCTAGAACATTTAAGGTCGCTTTTTGCCTTATATTTCGGTTTTGTGGTAGGTTAGAAGTTTAGGCTTGTATAGGGCTGATTGTTTTTTGCAATTTTGAGCGGTTGGATCGTTTCTTGCTAGATGGTGAGCGGTTTGATCGCAATCGTCTAAACTAACCGCGCTAATCAGAAGTCGCTATCGGCTTTTTACTCACTAAAGCGTAACCTCTCTAAAAACTGTCCTATAACTTCTAAGCTAAATGTCTACACGGGATATGTAGTCCCAATTGTAGTTTATGGCGCGTCAGTAACGCACTACTCGAAATCAAACCTCCGAGCAATTGAAAAGGTTCACCGAACGGCGACCAAATGGATGCTTAACTCACATATCCCATATAAGTGTAGACTACAAATATTAAGAATGCTACGGCTGTCTCTGTACATTGAAGTGCACGACCTCCTTCTGTTCATTTCTATAGTTCGCAATAACTACGAAATTGACATTAACCAATATGCCGAAAACACCAAGAGCTCAACGAGACAAAATGAAAGAAACGAATATCAAATACCGAAAACTCGCCTTAAGAAAACCAACTCAGACTGCTTCATTAGATGCCCAGCACTTTACAATGTCATAATTCGACATACCTCAAAACAGTTAACTGACATACAGAAATCTGACAAAGCGGAAATTTTTTGGAAATTCTTCGAAAGATACTCAGAAATGGACAGCTGCACATGGCGAATAATGTGTCCATGTGGAAACTGTAACCCAAATGGAAAACTCAGAACTCATTAACACTAAAACTACATTTTGGGTGCAAACCCATGGGATAACAACCCTAAATCCTGTTCTACTACTACTACTATAATCTTGAACGGTTTTTGAGATCGGGGTAGTGATATGATCTGTGCTACAGTTTGAAGGATGAGCTCTTGTAAACATGGCTTAGCTAAGTTAACCTTAAATAACCAGCCTCCGAGTTACGCCTTTGGTTGGTCAACAAAAACGTTCTCAATAGAAGTGTTTAACTTGATTTTTTTTTTAAATTTAGGTCGATTGGTTGAATCTTTTATTAAGGTCAATAATTGGACAATGGTTCTTTTCATGCTCGTATTTAGGCAATCTGCCTTTGTAAAAGCCCTAAGGTAGCCCTTTTTTCAAGCGATCTAATTTTACTCCAATTTGGAATAAGGTACATAATTTTTGGCATGTTTTTAAGCAAGTGGTATCAAATCATTTTACAGCCTGTATAAGATTTTTTTCTATTCTCACAACCTCACAGTTCTATTCTAGTCAGCTATTTCAATGTGTGCGCTTAGCATGTGTGCTTAGTCATTTATTCGTTGCCGAAAATTTTCGATAGGTTTTTGCTTGATTGGGGATTGGTTTAGGCCTTCCGCATTATTCACCTGTAAAAAAATCACATTTTTGTGGTCGATTTAAATGTGACAAATTTTCTCGAATTTTGACATATTCCACTCTTTGAAGAAAAAAAAAGATATATAACAGTGAAGTTTCAAAAAAATATATTTTAAAAACTATCTTATTTGGAGTTTTTTTCAAGGTTCTTTTTAGTTCGTTTTTCATTGATAACTTTGGTTGAAATCTGTTGGAGCAAGCAAAGCTTGATTCCAATTCGAAGTTTTTTTTGATCACATGTAAACTCAAATAAATTGTATGGTAATTTTCCCATAATTTTTTCATTTAATTTACCCGGTCAATCGATCGACGCACTCGGAAGATCAGTAGAAAACGCTTTGTGGCATTTCCTCCTCTTCGAGAATCTCGATCCTGAATCTCAGAAGGCATAGGAAACTGCTAATAATGGGACTGAAGCTCTTGATTTTGATCGAATTATGGTATGCTTAGACAACATAGTCAGTTGTTTAGACGTGGTTCAAGGATTTTATTCTAGACCCCACAAACCCGAGCGTGAGCAACTGAGGTTCTTAAACAGAAAAAAAACCGATCTCACTAGGATGGCTTCCACAGTGTACGAAATGCAGATCGATGAGACAATCAGAACGAAAGAGTTCCATGAGCAGCAAAAAGATGTGCTCCATTTGTTGTCTGCCAATATCGGCATATAGTTTAAAGATTGGCTCTTGTAAACATGGCTTAGCTTAGTTAACCTTAAATAACCAGCCTCCGGGTTAAGCATTTGGTTTTTCATTAATATTGCTATTAAAGAGATCGAACAGGGAAGTTGCTGTACTGTTCGGTACTTTTGGATGAGTGGCGTTCTCTTTCAGTGATCGTTGTTATAGGAGGTATAGAAACTCGGTACACATACGGCTTGCACGCGCTGTTCTTGCACGGAGAATCGTCTCCGACTGCGCTCTTCAATCTGGAAAAAAAAATGATTAATTCGATAAGCATATTCGACGTTAAAGCTTTGGAAGCAGACAGGAAAATCAAACCTAAAAAAAAGCAGTTCGTGCTGAGAATTGGAAAGTATTGAATGAGCTCACAGCAGTGCAGGAAAAACGCAGAGCAATTGATCAACAGTGGAAGCACGAGCATTCCATGTGGAAATTGAGTATAAGAAACAAAGGTTGACAACTTTAGGTCTAAATTGAAAAAGGCAGTTTCAATGTATCTCAAAAACTAATCCGAAGCTACTAATTTCAGGTTTTCTTTCACGTCATAAAGTCAGGGAAAAGGTAGGGAATTTTGATATCTGAATACCGTGGGATCCGTGATAAATAAGAGAGCTGGCGATGTAGAAAAATTGATAAATCGTACTAGTACTGTCGATATTTCATTCAGCTCAAATGTTAAAAACGCTTTTCCTTTCGGAAAAACTTAGATGTGTAGAGATATTGTGTTGCCCAAACTTGCAAAAACTGTCAAACATAGAGATAGTTTAGTGCAGAATCATTTAATAGTCTTATCCTAGAACACTTCAAGTATTTGAAATTTAAAATAGAACTTTGTTCTCGGAAACATCTTAACTGTTGCGCTCGATAGTCGCTGAAACATTGCACCATATACTTGAAAATTTCAATCATTTAATTTGTTTAATCCAATAAGAATGACATATTTTATATTGACCCCTTTGTCTCGTTAATTGTCTTAGATTCGTCCGGAAATGGTTAGTTGTATAATGTTTTTGAAGTCTAAGGAGTGTTGGAACGATTCAATTTGTAACACACTCAAAACTTCTTAAAAATACTGAAAATGAGTCATTTTCATTTCGGTTGCCATGATTGATGTGGCAATTTCTCAACTGCTTGTGGGCTAGCTTTTAGATATTTTCAAATAGGAAAAATTCCTTTCCTTTCAGAAAAACTTAGATGGGTAGAGATATTGTGTAGCTGAAACTGCAAATAAAACATAGAGATAGTTTAGGTAAAGACCCATTTAATAGTCTTATCACAGAACAGTTCGAAGTTTTTAAAATAAAAATAGGCTTTTTTCTTGAACTACTTAACCATTGCTGTCGATAGTCGCTGGAACATTGCACCTTATGCTTGAAAATATCATTCGTTTATTTTTTTTTCATTCAATAAGAATAATTAATTTTATAGTGACCCATATTCTCGTTAAATGGCTTAGAGTCATCCGGAAATTGGGGCGATTTAATTTGTAACACACTCAGAGTTTTAAAAAATCAGTCAGTTTCTTTTCAATTGCCATGATTCATATGGCACTTTTTCAACTGTCTGTGGGCTATGTTTTAGATATTCCGCAAGATATTTTTGCCTGGAAAAGATATCTGGACAAGAAACTTCATGGGTCCTCATGTGCACCCCTTAGTGCTTTCGGAAATCACATTCCGCTCGGAATAAAATGGGCTGAAAGAATCAAAGGCATGTTCATCGAATTCTCAGTACGAAGCAACGCCAAGTTAGTAAAATCAGTGTTTTAATGTGCGTTCACTTTTTTTAAACCTAACTCGCAAATTATTATGCTCATTAAAAGTAGTGAACGTAGTGAAGACTCTTATATAGCTCTTATGGGTTTTTTGTTGTTTTTTTCAGGACAAAGTCTTAAAATGCTCTAATAACTACAGATGTGCATTCATACATTTTGATGCATTTATGAATACATTTAGGTACATGTATGCACTTTTTGAGTTCAATTGAAATTCATCTGCTGAAAGTGTCGTAAATAGCACTCTCCAAGTACGAACGTTGTAATGGATTTTTAGTTTTGAAAGGAGTTTAATTGATAGATTTCCAGCGGAATAAAAACTTTACCTGTTGATCCAGTTTTTTCAAGTTGGGTTAGCGTTATCAAAAAAGCGCCAATCATAAATCGTTCTAGCAGTTTAGAGAGCTTAAAGGTCATCTATTTTTCCTTTGAGATTCGAAAGTTGAGATTTTTTCAACTAAGTGTTTTTTATGTTCACTTGCGTTCATTACTCTTTTCCAATCTTCGATTGGCTGTTTTTTTTTCATTTGTGGGAAATTTAGTACCGTGCGTTTTATTCGCTTTATTAGAGAGCATGTTGTTCCCCGCTGGATGGTGTGTTAAATGTATAAGGCAGCTAGGACAGTTGGTTTAGTCAGAAAGTTGATCTCTTGATAATCTGGAGGTTTGAAGTTGAAATCCAGTAGTCCATTATATTTTTTGAAATCAGAGTTCCTTTATTCTTCAAAAAGTTGTTTAGTTGTCTTGATTATGGTTTCGTTTGATTGCTCATTTTGCTATTTAAAGTTTTTTGTAGCAAATTTGGTCAAATTCAACAAAAATGTTTTTATTGACCAAATTTAATTAAGCAAGCGAAGTGTACATATAATATAGCCTTGTATTATTGTGAATTTTGAATTCTCCTGTGTGTTAAGCGAATTCTTTTTTGGTGCTTGTAGCGAATTATTTGATCTGCAGATTGCTCTTCATGATTTATGTGTATATGAAGTCACCTTATTTGCGTTGAGCTGCTAAGCTAATTTGAAAAATTGATACAACCTTGACTTGATTTTGAAGCATTAGAAAGGATGTGCCCAAATTTATCAAATGAGTAAACATCAAATTTGAAAAAAAATATATAAATTGCTCCGGCGGTGTTCGATCCGACGCCAAAGTACAGAGCTTACTCATGATAATTAATTTCAAACTTCACAGTTCCGAGGAAAAAGCAAATATCAAAATTTTCACGAAAAATTTGATGAGTTTTTGTAGCAAATAGATATGCCCAAAAAAGTTGCTGTGAAATTCTTTTCACAAAATTGCAAAAAGTCCCCAAAATTGGCTGAAAAAGTGCTAAAAAAACAGAATGAACAAAAATTTAAATTTCCAAAGAAAAATTTAAATAGTTTCGGAAAAATTTAAATTGATGCCAACAATTTTTATAATTTTCCTAAACCATTTTAATTAAAATTTGAATTTTATTTTTTTAAAATTGACGTCACTGGCTTCGTGAAATGTTCGGAACAATAAAGGCAATAAGGCCGACGCATAAGAGCTGAGTATAACTATTTTTTTTTTGAAAAAAGGTACGGTTATCATCTAGAGAAGGACTTTGTTTAGTAGGAGGTACCATCGGCGAAGTGGAGAAATAATTAACAATTTAAATTAAGTAAGTAAATATATTCGTTTGGCAATAAAATGGTTTCAGAGCGTGGTACTACGAGGTGAGGGACTGCAAGGGGTACTTCCTCCTCATTTCGCCCCTGGGAAACCCAAATGAGACCATATGGATCAGTGTAATGTGTCCACACTACGGTGGTTTTTCCCAGATAGTGAAGCGAATGGAGACTCCTTTTCCCTCTTTTGAAGACGACAGAGTGAAATTGATGATGAAAATGCACGGTGAGTTTGGAAAAAGGTTAAAATTTTTCAAATACGCAATTAAGTACTAATATAATTAAGAACGGAATAATTTTTATAATCGAAATATTTCCTATAGATTTTAGAAACCTGTTATGATATAGTACTTGTAGCAACTAGTTGGATAATTCATAATTAGATAGAACGGTTATTTCGGAAACCAGTTGAATTTCAAAAAGTGACAAAAATTGGAAGCGACAGGATTAATTGGAATTATCTGGTTTAAAAAAGTTTATTTTTTGGGCTATTTTCACTCCTGACTTTTGTTTGAAATAGTTTTTGCATCCAAGAAACTTCCTTTCCTTGATTCAATGAAATACCATTTGCTTGATTCAAGTTGATCGTTTGCTTGATCGCACTTTTCATCGCTCTTGAGTATTGCATGCCAAACGATTTTTCGAGCGTTTTTTAGAATGCTAAAAAGATTTCATAAAAATGCTCTAAAGTTTTTTTCGAGCTTTTCCAATCAAAAAATTTGAATTATGATAAACCGATTGAGATGTGCCAACCATTTTGTCAATTTCTTTGACTCTACTTTTATGATAAGTATTTCATTCCGATTTGATGTCAATCAAATTTTAAAAAAACCGTTATCAACTGCGTTAACATAGTCCTACGAAGTGAACCTGAGTACTCGTGGCCTATTGGAGTCCAAGTTCGTTCACGGTTGGAGGAGTCCCAGTGTCATTCGCCCCTCCTCAAGTTGGGGACCGGCTGCGGCGAAAGGGATGGCATTCTCCTTTTACTACGTTTGGTTCTGCATTGAGTAGGACCCGAAGCTATAAAAAGAAATCAACAACCTGTCTCAAAAACTGAATCATAATGTCGTAAACGGATTTAAGCTTCCATTTGAAAAAAAAAAACGTTTTTTTTTTCTTTTAGGCAAAAGAGAAATCAGCGAGATGTTCGTTCCTGATTTGCATCTCAGATTGCGACATCATGAGCAAAAAATTTGCAAACTTACAGTGGGAAATACAGTGGAAGTTTTAGACAAGAGCTTTTTCGGCAAAGTGGCGCAAGCATTTGTGAAGACGATAGCAGCTAATGGGCATCTAATTGAGTTTTACTACAGACCAATCGACAAGAGAGGTTAATACATGTTTTTGTAAGTGAAAATTGCTTTTAGGGCATTTTCAGTGGCTTAGGTCAGGTCTTTGTTTATCAACATGTTTATACTTGCAATCAGCGCAGTTTATTACTACGAACCTTCTTTTTTTCTTACCTAACTCGCAAATGAAAGTATTTGTTGAATGTGTTCACATCTGGAATTTTTACTGTAGCATTGGAAATTGCATAGCATCTGTTCTCTGCTTTATTTGTCGCAATTGTTTGACAGCGATTAAGCATTCGTGGCTCAATTGTAAGTTCGCTGTAGGTTGTAGGTTCGAATCCGAAGTTTACTAATTTGTGGCTTATTTCTACTTTTTTGTTATTGAAACCTATAGAGCTGCTTTTTGTCGTGTTCTCGCTAGTGTTTGCGAAGCACACCTCGCCTCTGTGTTTTAATGGAAATGTTTTAACGCTTTTTTTCTAAGAAACGCTCGCGATATGATCAGCTCTTCGTTTTTTTAATTCTTGTGTTTAATTTCTTTTTTTTTCTGTTAAATTTTTATCGAGCTTTTTTTGCTACTAGGTAATCGTTCTGACGTTCGAAGGCATTTTGTTTAACCAAATGCATATCCAGATTCTATTTATTAAATAAAATGAAAGTCAGATTGCGCTATGGACGCATTGTTTATGTGGATACCATGTTTAATAATTTGATGAGCTCCAAGTTTAAAAGGAAGGCGGTAATGTTCTAGATATTTCGAAGATTCCGACTTCTGGAGTATTCATACCCTGGGCAAGATAAACTCGATTCAACTTAAATTCTAAACTGTTCTGCTTTTTTTTAAATCGAACGAAAATTTTTTTGTTAAAAAACGATAAGATTCAAAGTACAGCGAAATGACGACAAAAAATTGATATTTAAAAAAATGATTTACGGAAATTTGAGCTCTTAGTTTTTTCCCAGGTTGTGCAAAGCTTCATCTGAATTTAACGGTTAGTTAAAATTTTCAATCATATTTACGCTTGCCACTAGCAAGAATTATGATTTCGAAATTTGGGTTTTTCTCAGGATAACAACTAGTTAAGCCAAGTCTATTGAATTATTCGATAGCTGGGCTTATTATCTTTTCAATTTCCGATAGTTCTCTGGCTCATTTAGCTTAGAGCTAACTTCGACGTTAAAAAAAATTGTCGGCCTATTTGTCTGTCTATTTTTTCTCAGTTTAATTGCACATCCACGAATTTTGATGTGCTCCCCAATCCTAATTGAAGATGTATATGATTTTTCGTGTGTTTTGTTGAAATAGCCCTGGAAGTAACTGCTCCTGGAAGGCTCTAATGATTTTTTTTCTGTTTGATAGCACGGTTAACCCTAAAATGTTAGTTTTAAACAAGTTAAGAAAATTTTTTGCTTCGAACAAAAAATACATTCACTTTGTAAAATTTTAGCCTACTCGAGGGGTTATGTTTTTGTTTGACTGGATATGTTCCGTTTTCCTCCATAACAACGCACTCATTGAAGTCATGATTTTTTACTGGTTTATAGCAAAAAAAATTGTTAAGTACTCTCACATGGCGAATTTTTTGAACGTTTCACTCACTTTTTGACTTCCTCGAATAAAATGTTCTCCGGATATGTTTTCTGTTTCATGTGCGATGGTGGCAAAAGAAACTTAACACTGTCTTTTAACGCATCACCAACTAGATTTTTTCGTGTTTTTGTTTCAGCGGTTTAGGTTGAGAGTTCCTCCATCATGTGCAAGTTGCTCTTTTCCTCGTTCGCTCATGCCAACTTTTCCTCGCTCATGCTCATGCGTAGTGGATCAGTAAATGAAATGATTTGCAAGGTATAATTGAAACGAAAGAATTGAAACAAAGGGTTTTAGATGCTTCCTACGTTCAATTACAATTATCTTTACTGTTATTTCTTTTCATTTTGCTATTTAATTCAAAACTAGTGCTAAATTTAATTTTCGATCTGATCGATGGATTCTAACCCCCCTAAAACAGCCGCTAAATATTTTGCTCAGTTCGCATATTTATTAATACCCCATTTGGCAATTAATCGTGCTGTCAATTGTCGCTTCCTACGAATTGGCGCTTGCTGCGAATTGGCGCCTTTCAAAATTGCTAGGAATCGTTGCGTGTGACGGTTATCGCCTCATGTCTCAGGAACGTCTTTTTATTATTGGTGCTGCCAAATTCATTTTGCGCTTGTGAAATTTAAACAAACATTCCTACCTTTTTTCAGGTGTCATGAAGGGCAAAAGCTGCTTGGAACAAATGGAATTCGATGACTCAGTTGATAACAGTTTCTGGGTGACTCCATTTTCAACACTTTGTCATCCAGTCGGCTGGGCCAGGGAAGTGGGCCACAAAAACGACGCACCCTAGTAAGTGAGTTTTTTATTTTCTGATGGAATGATTAGACACTATTTCATGTAAATTAAGAGTCATGAACGCAGTGAATGCTCTTATAAAGGTCTTCGGATTTTTTTTCACAAGTAGAAACCTTGAAACTTTTTACGCTAATTTTAATTTTTCGCGGTTTGATTTTTGTAAGTTCATTTTGTTTAAATATTTGAAAAGAAGGCACACTCTACTATCGAACTGCGAAAGTGTAAAGGTCACCAAAAATGTGGTCGACTTCTAGTTTCGAAAGTGGATTTCAGTTTTCCCAGCGGAATGAAAAGTTTACCTATTGATCCAGTTTTCTCAAATTGGTTTAATTTTGTCAAAAATGGCTAGTTAAAAAGTCTAAATTTGTCTGAAGAAAAAAAACCTCGTTATGAAAGTCGGAACAACAAGTAATTTAGGAAGTTAGAATAAATCAAACCAATAGTCAGATCTAAAATTTATCATAGTTCAATGATTAAATCAAAAATGAAAAAAAAAGTTGTATTTGTAGTGATTGCCAATGCATGCCTCGACACACAGAAGAAGCAACAGAATCTTTTAACAGATTTCAATTGGAAACAGTTGAAGAAAAAGAAAAACCGTCCTCAGCCAAGTTCAAAAAAGGCATGAAACTTGAAATGGTTGACCCGATCAACCTAAATGCAATTACAGTCGGAACTATCGTGAAGGTATTTAGCCGAGCAAGTTTTTATTGTTAAACGCTTTTATTAGATACTGGTCTAGTACTAGAAATTTTTGTGGGCGCAGTTTGGTGAAACTTGAGCGGTCTTGCTGACTGCCAGGTTGATAGGTTGATTATTGGTGATATATTACAATAGGTGGTTGTTCAATTTCATTAGCTGGATCGCTTTTTGTTGTACTTCGCTTATTAGTTTTGATTTATTTCAAACGCCAAGTTTTTTGGCAAAAGATGTGTACAATTTGAAATTTTGAATAGCATTTCATTTGGCAAAGTAATGTATTTAAAAAACTATCTCAGTAGCAGTACAATTGACTGAAAATGAAATTACTATATTATGCACTGTAGTTCTCAAATTAATACATGTACTATACTCAAAATTATGGCTCTTTTTCCTTTTCCCCCACCTGCAAATTTTTATATTTGAAGTTACTGTTCACTTTGTCCGATTGACGTGGAATTTAACATGCAGATTAATTAGGCCATAACAAACACATTTGGTCTTCATAATTAACCTTGTAAAACCACTCGTTAGACCATAAAATTCATGTTTGCGTGAGGCGGGGGGGGGGGGGGAGGGGGGGGGGGGGAGGAAAAAGAGCCAAAATTACAACCTGGTAACATATCACCTGATTATGAACTACATTAGCCAATAAAAAAGGTTATCTCCATAAAACTGAAAACCTCACAAGAACGTATAATAAACCAAAATTGGTTTCCTAATATGATTAGGTTTAGTTGTATGACAATACCCGTTAATGCGTTGTTTTCAGTTGTATGAAGGTAAAAACTGCTTTCTATCAGTTTCCTCAAACAAAATACATTTTCCTTCAAACAGTCGCAACCGATGTATTTGCTTAAGTTTCGCTTGACGTTTCTATAAAACTTCAATTAAGCGAATGGTGAAGGATAAATTTTCATAATTTTTGTAGAGCGATTAATTGCTCTGGCAGCTCTATTACCAAAGAAAGTGTCTTGAAAAGTGGATGTACTGAGCTTGTTTTTTTTGTTGCAAGTTTCTGTGTTCAAATTTCTAGCGTTTAAATTATTGAGGGGCTTGTTTTTTAAAGATGTTTTAAGCCTTGTTTCTGCTAGATGGTGTAGTTTTTTTTGGTATCGAAAATGATGCTTCTATGTTTAATGATTGTTAGTCAGTTCTTTTCTTATGTAACGATCATCATTTCCTTCGCTCCAAATCAACTGAACAACTTTTGTACGTTTTCAGGTGCTGAGAAACAACTTTGTGATGATAGCAGTTGACCAAAAAGGAGGTCAAGTTCCAGACCCAGTTGAACATTTCTGCGTGCCAACAACTTCACCCTACCTACTGCCTCTGGGCTTCTGTGACAAGTACAAACAACAGTTGAAATCCCCACCCCATCATAGAGGGAAGTTTCTCTGGCCCGATTATCTGATGGATTGTGAGGCAGTTCAGGTGCCGGACGAGTGCTTTTTTGATTTTGAGAAGCATAACGCCGGCCGAGAGAGACTAACAGTTGGCAACAAGGTACATTTAAAGACACTCGAATTGAAACTATTATTTTTTTTTATTTTCGTAGCAGTTTCTGACAGTTTTTGAACTATTTTGGTTTGGAAGTATATAATATTAGACACTCAAAGGCAAATTTTGGCGAAGATTGTTGAAAGTTATTTTTTTAGATGTGTCTGTTATGCACTAGTTTCAATCAAAGTAGAAAAAGTATGTTTGAAATGTTTTAGACTGATCTCTTTTCTTTTAGGCTTTGGGTAATTATTTTCAGATCGAAATCAGAGATATTTCTTTTTTTTCAAACTTTTCTATCATCCCGGAAAGTGAAAAAGATTCGTGTTTCGTTGAATTATCCTAAAGATTCGAAATAATACTGTTGGCTTCTTTTTCTTTTTCAGCTTTTCTTAAGAATAGTGAACAAATTGAAGATTTTGTATAGATCATGGTGATTTTTTGTTTGTTTGTTTTTTCAGGTAAAATCTTCAAATTTGTTCTGGTTCAGTTTTAATCTTTCGCGGCGTGACTATTGATCTCTTTTTAATTTCAGTTCATTTCCTTTGTTAAAAGGAAAGCAAACTCTACTATTGAACAGCAAAAGTGGAAAAGTCATGAAACACGCGATCGACTTCTAGTTTCGAAAGCGGGATTTGATTATCAGTTTTCTTAGAGAGTTGAAAATTTTGCCTATTAATCCAGTTTTCTCAAATATGTTAAATTTATTTAAAAATTGTTAAATTTAAAATTGTTCTGTCGAAACTGTGGATGCTTTTTAATTTTCCACATCCCTTAGCTATCGCTTCTGAGGATTTAGTATGCAAAATACGACAAAATTTGTCCCAGAAAAAAAAACATTTCTTTCAGTTGCAGAATCTTTCCGTTTAGAAAGAAAATGAATTGAGTTCTAATGTTCGAAAAAAAATGGCCAAATTTTTTGGACAATTGTTTCAGTGCCGCAGTAAAAGGTGATAGTTTCTTTTCAAGTCATTTTTTTCCTTTCAGGTCGAAACAGTTGACATTTTGAACCCGTCCACAATCCTTCCAGCCACTGTGATGTCAGTAGCCGGACATCTGGTCAGAGTCAACTTCGATTCTTGGCCGGCCCAGCAGGACCAGTGGAAGTACATGTACAGTGACGACATATTCCCCATTGGCTTCTGTGAACTGGTCAAGTATGATTTGATGCCGCCAAAGAAGTACTTGAACGCACAATCGGCCAAACAATTCGGAGTTGTTTTTGAACAGGTAATTGAATTAAAATAGATTCAAATGATAATTAATTGGAGAGAAATTAAATGGGGGCTATTTTTCTGGCCGATGAGCTGCGTATTTTTGTGATTTTATAACATAACTGAATTCTGATTGGCCCAGATTTTATTTGATAAGCAGAGATTCTACTTTCGGATTAATTTTGTTTGAATAATTGTTCGGTCGGGTAATTTAATAGGATCATCGGGTAAAATTAATATTGCATGCTTTTTTTAATGATCACTCAAAAGTCTTTCACAGGAAGTGATCTAATAAGAGTCTTGATTGTAGTGAATATTCTTATATAGGTCTTGGTGTATTTTCAGGAAAAGTCTTAAAATTGTTCACATTCAAATTTGATTTATTTCGCGGTTTGACTTTGTCGTCTTTTTAAATTCAGTTCATTTCCTTTGTTGAAAGAAAAGTAAACTCCACCATCGAACATCAAAAGTGTTAAAGTCACGAAAAACGTGCTGATTACGCTTGCGAGCTTTAGTTTATTTGTACGAACCTGATTTTTCTATTCTAACTTGCAAATAAAGGTGTTCATTATTTGGTGGCAAAGAGTTCTTTCTTGGTGGCATTTTTGCTTTAACGCGAGCCGTAGCATTGGAAATTTCATAGCGTCTATTCTCTGATTTGTTTGTGGCTAGTGTTTGTGATCTATAAAGCGTACGTCGCTGAGCGGTTAGTTTGAGACTCATAATTCTAGGTCGCAGATCGAATCCGAGACTTAGCCGAACTTTTTTTTACTTATTCGAAGCGTATTTCTACTTTTTTTATTACACTATATAGACCTGCTTTTTGTCGTGTTCTCGCTAGTTTTTACGAAGCGCAGTTTAGCCTCTGTAATTAAGTTAACAGAACGAAACGAATAAAACTTAAATTTTAAACAGGGTTTTTTCAAATTTTGTTGATTATACACCAAAAAAGACCAAATTTGCTTAGAATTTCAGTAGAAGTATTATTGTGTAAATAAATTTGTAATTTATTTAAGAAGGTATGATCTCAAAAAATGTGTGCACAAGTTGTGATTTGTTTATAAATAAAAAATTGAAGTTTTATGTATTAAAAATGGCGGTTTTGCTATCAAACAAAATAATTAAGTTTATACTAAATTAAGAAGATCATCTTTTTCTTAAATTTGGTTGGGTTACATAAAAGGCTCACTTTGTCTGCAATTGAAGAGGCTCAGTAAGAGGCTCACTTTGTCAGCAGTAGTTTCGTCTTAATTTTTTTTACCTGAAAAACATCCAAATTTTGCCTTATTTTAACCCAAATCCTGCTTTGCGGTAATATTTTAGTTCGCAAACCAAATTGCATCAAAAAAAATCTGCTATTTTTCTAAGTAAGTTTGTTTTCATCTTGTAATGTCTAAAGTTGACACAATTTGAGAAAAAAGCGTTTTGAATGTCTACTTTTTTTGTTTTGTCCGTATGATTTAAGATGGAACTGTAGCTTTGAAATTCGATTTTATTTTTCAGATTTCCCAGCGGAATGAAAATTTTACCTTCTGATCCAATTTTCTAAATTGGTTAATTTTTACAAAGAAGTTTTGAAAATAAATTGTTTTGAAATTGTTCAAAGAGCTGTTGGGTCATGTATTGTTTTGTTCCGACTTTCGAAGAAAATGTGAGAATATTTGTGCTAGGGGTGGTTTTTTGTCCAGACAATTTTCCTGTTAATGGGGTTTAAATTTAGCTAATTTGGAACAATTAAATTGCGATATATTCCGTGCTATTAACCCGTAAGCAGTGATTTAATCCGAAAAGAAAGCGTTCAAAATTGAAATGAGGCGTGATTTTTTGTCTATTTAATACTTGCTATATTCAAAATATATTTTTTTTGTACTGAACTTAGCGTTTGTGCTGATTATTTTCAAAAAATTATTCTCAATTTTTATTGTTTTTCCTTGTTTTGAACATTTCCATTTTTTGTAAAGCGAACAGGATTTCATAGACTTTATAACGCAGTCGGAAAATTCAGGGTTTTGGCCTGATACGAGCAGTCTACTTCTCTTTGAATTTTAAAGTAGGCGATTTTTTTGAAAAAAAAACAAGTCAGTATTTTTTCTATTTCCTTGCGTTCATGACTTTTTCCAACCTTCTGTTGATTATGTTACAAGCTATTTTTTTTTCTGTGTGTTTTTGAAAACTCAATTTGCGAAGTGACTCATGGAGAAAACCCATACTGTTTTTTTGCTTTGTTAATTTGCAATGGAACTGAGAAACCCTGGGTTCTTTCATCAATTTGGTTTGACGGATAATAGTATCATTAAGGTTTCTGCGCTCAGCAATGTGAGTTCTTAAAAAGAGTTTAACTACGCAATACGTACATAGGTTAAGAATGAACTGTGCGTATGTAACGGCTTATAAACGTGCAAGTGAAGGGATTGCTTGAAGTGTCATTTTTCCTACCATTGAAAATGGAGAAGAACTTTGTATTCGGGTGTTACTCTGTATTCGGGTGTTTTGGCTTTTTGTTTCCCACGCAAAATCAGGTACCACAAACAATCATTGAACTGGGTTGAATGATATAACATATTAAAGACCCTTTCAGTCGTGATTTGAGCATTATCGCGGAAAACCGGTTTGATGTTTTTGTTTTTTCGCCTAATTTCGACCGAATAAAGTGATAATCTATCTATTATATATTTGAATGCGGGATTCACTATCTCGCCATGTTTAAGCTTTTTCAACGTATAATTTTTGCATGTTTAAGCTATATCGTATATTGCAATGGTTAAGAGTTTTTTTCGATTTTCCAATTTGATTTTAGTGGTAATTTTACCGAGTTTAAGTTAAGCAGCCCAGTATTGAATTAGGGGTTGCGAATTTGGCCTCCAATTTTGAATGCCCGAATCATTTTCGCTAACGAGATAAGACGATTTTTGAGATTTTTTCAAAAATTTTCAGAAGTTTCAAATAACAAAAAAATTTACAAAACTTGAAGTTCCCAACCCTGTAGTTGGGTGCTGTCAGAGTACTCTACAGAGTTACAAATCTTGCCTCCAAATATGACTTTTCAAATCTTTGTAGTTTTTGAGATATGACGTTTTTTGTGATTTTTTCAAAAATTTTCAGAAAATTTTATTTAATTATTTCTCAAAATTTGAGTTTTCCAATCTTGTAGTTGGGTGCTGTCAGAGTACTGTAAGGAGTTACAAATCTTGTCCCCAAATATGACTGTTTAAATCTTTGTGGTTTTCGAGATATGACGTTTTTTGTGATTTTTCAAAAAAAAATTTCAGAAAATTTATTCGCAAATTATTCGAAAATATTTTTTTTTTCGCAAAATCTGAAATTCCCAACCCTGTAGTTGGGTCCTGTCAGAGTATTCTCAAAGATTGCGAATCGTGCCTCCAAATATGACTGCTCAATTCTTAGTAATTTTCGAGATATGATATTTTTTGTGATTTTTTCAAAAATTTTCAGAAAATTTTATTTAATTATTTCTCAAAATTTGAGTTTTCCAATCTTGTAGTTGGGTGCTGTCAGAGTACTGTAAGGAGTTACAAATCTTGTCCCCAAATATGACTGTTTAAATCTTTGTGGTTTTCGAGATATGACGTTTTTTGTGATTTTTCAAAAAAAAATTTCAGAAAATTTATTCATTTTTTTTTCGTAAAATCTGAAATTCCCAACCCTTTAGTTAGGTCTCGACAGAGTAATCTCAAAGATTGCGAATCTTGCCTCCAAGTATGACTGCTCAATTCTTTGTAGTTTTCGAGATATGACGTTTTTTGTGATTTTTCCAAAAATTTTCTGAAAACTTCGAAGTTTAAATTAATTATTTTTTCAAAATTTGAAATTTCCAACGCTATAGTTCGGTGTTGTCAGGGTACTCTAAAGAGTTGCAAATCTTGCCACAAGCGACTGCTAAACGCGACTGCTCTAATGTTTTAAGTTTCCGAGATCTGACGTTTTTTGACTTTTTCAAAATTTCTCGAAGAACTTATCTACAAAGAAATTCAAAAAATTTGAAAATACTAACTTGATGAAGATACAACCTTATTGTCAGCGTACACCCAGGCGTCTCAAATCTTGCCTCTTATTATGAATGCTCAAATCTTTTTAGTTTCCGAGATAAGACGTTTTTTTTTCAATTTTTTTTTTCGGGAAACTTACGTTTAAAAAAATTCAAAAATTTTGGGATTCCTAACCCTTTAATAGGGTGCTCTTAGTGGTTGCAAATCTGGCCTCCAAATTTCGCCAGAGGCCCATTAAGTTTTCGAGATGACGCTTTTATAAGGGGAATTAAAAAATGTAAATGTTCGAAATTACCAACCCTGTAATTGGTTGCAGTCAGAGTACACTAAAAGTTTGCAGATGTTGTTTCCAATATATGCGGTTTTTCATGAGCTGTCGTGGGTTAAAACTTCGAAAGCACCGAAGGTGCGTTAAAAGCTAGTAACTTATTAAATTGATCATTAACGCTTAAAAAACCAACCTGTTCCAAGCGGAAACTAGTTTTGTAAGCTATTTTTGGCACTTTCTTGGCAAGAGTTTTTTAAAATAAAAATATTGTTAAAAAATAAAAAAAATCGATTTTTTTTCGAAATTTTACTTCATTGTTTTTGTTTTTTTTTAAAAAAAACTCTTGTCGATTATGCCTAATTCACTAATTTCTTTTACACGTGTGTATAATTTTATCATCACACCACGTTTGAAACACGGCACTAATTGGAAGAACTTAATATTTTGAAGAATTTTTATTTGTAGTTTTTATGAATATTGTCGGATAATTCTGTGCTACTTGCACAGCAACCAGCTATCCTTGTTTTAACATCTTTTTGGTTCACATGTTTGGTTTCCACCTTCATGTTTCATTGACTTCAATGTTGTCAAACATCTTTGGGCATATTCAATAGCTAAGCCAGATTGGTAGTGCTATCTAACTGTTACTTGATAAAATGTATAATCTCACCATTCGTTTCTGATTAACAACCATTAAAAATTAACATGATGTTTTGCAGTCTTCTTTTAAAATAATTAAGGCCAATCCTTAATTTGTTGAATTCATTTTTCTCATTCAGTTTAGTTGTGAACATTTTTTGACAGCAAGCAAATATTGTTGTGATAATTAAAACCACGAAAATTGAGTGACTGTGAAAATATGACTGTTCAAATCTTTGTAGTTTTTGAGATATGACGTTTTTTGTGATTTTTCAGAAAAACTTATATTTTTTTTTTCGCAAAATCTGAAATTCCCAACCCTGTAGTTGGGTCCTGTCAGAGTATTCTCAAAGATTGCGAATCGTGCCTCCAAATATGACTGCTCAATTCTTAGTAATTTTCGAGATATGATATTTTTTGTGATTTTTTCAAAAATTTTCAGAAATTTTTATTTAATTATTTCTCAAAATTTGAGTTTTCCAATCTTGTAGTTGGGTGCTGTCAGAGTACTGTAAGGAGTTACAAATCTTTTCCCCAAATATGACTGTTTAAATCTTTGTGGTTTTCGAGATATGACGTTTTTTGTGATTTTTCAGAAAAACTTATATTTTTTTTTTCGTAAAATCTGAAATTCCCAACCCTTTAGTTAGGTCTCGACAGAGTAATCTCAAAGATTGCGAATCTTGCCTCCAAGTATGACTGCTCAATTCTTTGTAGTTTTCGAGATATGACGTTTTTTGTGATTTTTCCAAAAATTTTCTGAAAACTTCGAAGTTTAAATTAATTATTTTTTCAAAATTTGAAATTTCCAACGCTATAGTTCGGTGTTGTCAGGGTACTCTAAAGAGTTGCAAATCTTGCCACAAGCGAATGCTAAACGCGACTGCTCTAATGTTTTAAGTTTCCGAGATCTGACGTTTTTTGACTTTTTCAAAATTTCTCGAAGAACTTATCTACAAAGAAATTCAAAAAATTTGAAAATACTAACTTGATGAAGATACAACCTTATTGTCAGCGTACACCCAGGCGTCTCAAATCTTGCCTCTTATTATGAATGCTCAAATCTTTTTAGTTTCCGAGATAAGACGTTTTTTTTTCAATTTTTTTTTTCGGGAAACTTACGTTTAAAAAAATTCAAAAATTTTGGGATTCCTAACCCTTTAATAGGGTGCTCTTAGTGGTTGCAAATCTGGCCTCCAAATTTCGCCAGAGGCCCATTAAGTTTTCGAGATGACGCTTTTATAGGGGAATTAAAAAATGTAAATGTTCGAAATTACCAACCCTGTAATTGGTTGCAGTCAGAGTACACTAAAAGTTTGCAGATGTTGTTTCCAATATATGCGGTTTTTCATGAGCTGTCGTGGGTTAAAATTTCGAAAGCACCGAAGGTGCGTTAAAAGCTAGTAACTTATTAAATTGATCATTAACGCTTAAAAAACCAACCTGTTCCAAGCGGAAACTAGTTTTGTAAGCTATTTTTGGCACTTTCTTGGCAAATTTTTTTTTTTAAAATAAAAATATTGTTAAAAAATAAAAAAAATCGATTTTTTTTCGAAATTTTACTTCATTGTTTTTGTTTTTTTAAAAAAAACTCTTGTCGATTATGCCTAATTCACTAATTTCTTTTACACGTGTGTACAATTTTATCATCACACCACGTTTGAAACACGGCACTAATTGGAAGAACTTAATATTTTGAAGAATTTTTATTTGTAGTTTTTATGAATATTGTCGGATAATTCTGTGCTACTTGCACAGCAACCAGCTATCCTTGTTTTAACATCTTTTTGGTTCACATGTTTGGTTTCCACCTTCATGTTTCATTGACTTCAATGTTGTCAAACATCTTTGGGCATATTCAATAGCTAAGCCAGATTGGTAGTGCTATCTAACTGTTACTTGATAAAATGTAAAATCTCACCATTCGTTTCTGATTAACAACCATTAAAAATTAACATGATGTTTTGCAGTCTTCTTTTAAAATAATTAAGGCCAATTCTTAATTTGTTGAATTCATTTTTCTCATTCAGTTTAGTTGTGAACATTTTTTGACAGCAAGCAAATATCGTTGTGATAATTAAAACCACGAAAATTGAGCAAACTTGTTCGATTCATGTTTCTAGAGATTCGCTGACTGGAAGAAAATTTCCAAAATTTTTCATCAACTACTAAAAATACGATAATTTTTACTTGTTCATGCAACCCTTGATTTTGTCTGTCTAACAAAGCAAACGTATCATATTACAAACTCGATTTTCTCCCACCCAACTAGCATAAAATTAGGCGCAATTTGATGGTTTTTTGCTGTAAACAATTTAATAGCAATTGTTTTATCCGCTTCATTGATAACTCGTGTTTGGAGGATTTGGGGGCGTGCGACTCTAAATTTGAAGGTGGCAGGTTTGAATCCCATTAATTGATTTTTTTTTCGAAATGCTTATTAAGGCTGTTTTGTGTAGGTATTTTAGTGTGTTGAAAAGTTACTCTTTTGCCATTTTTTGTTGGTGTTTGCGAATGCAGCTTTGATGCTGTGTTCAAAATTTACTGCTGGCCTCTGTTTTAAAATGATTTTTTTCTTGCTTCAGGTAGAAATTCCAGATGTGGTAGCAGACACTACAACCGATAAATTAGCTCTTCTTGACAGTTCATTGAATGAAAATGCGGATGATTCTGGGTCGGATCTGAACATCCCCGGAGTTGAGGAGCTACTTGTCTGCGTCAATGATGAAAATAAAGAGAATTACAGTTTTTGATTGAATTTTGTTTTTTTTTGCAACTGTTATGATGTTGATTTTTTGTGCCCTGTGATTTGCAATTGTTGTTGCATTAAGGCCTTTAGTTTTTAAGTTAGAGTTGACACAACCTAATTGATATGATTTTATCGATGTCTGTTTTGTCTTCAGAGAAAGTAAGCTACTATTTTTGCTTGAGTTTGAATTGTTGGCGGTTTCTAGCCTACCAATTGGAAAGCACAAAATCTGAAAATGAGTCGACTTTTGCTATTGCGAGAGATATTTTTGTAATCGGGAACAAGGTTTTTTGCTCTAAGCAATTGAAGATCAATTTGAGACTTAAAGGTCTGAGGTTCCAATCCTAGCTTGACTTTTTTTTCGATGTCTCAATTTTTGGGTTTATGATCTTCGTTTCAATTCTTAGCTTCGTTCGGTATTTTTATTTAAACGATTCTGTCGAATCCTATTAAATGTTATATCTAGCGTTCTAACCATTGTATGTGAAACATTCATTAAAGAAGGGCAGGATCAACATACAAGTTCAGCTTCTTACAGAAAACCGCTGTTGGGTCCCTGCTTAAAATCTACATGCAGTTTTTCTGTTTCTTTTCTGGTCTGGCTAATGCTGTCTCATTCTCAAGCAACGAGAACTAGCGGTCTTTAGGCTCAGAGGCGGATATTTCTAGGAATTTCAGTGTCCCCTAATAATATCACTGTGATATTTTTGCTGATGATTTTTCTGCTTATTCGTTTCGTCTGAAGCTATATCGGTTTTCGAATAGTAAATAAACAAGTTTTTCTGGAAATATAAAGAGCCTTGAGGGTATCTATTTTTTCTAACTGTCGAAAATTTAATGAAAATTGATAGTTTTTTTCAAAAAAAAATACTTTTAAAAATGCAGTCGCAAAATTATGTGCTACTTGTTTGTTTACGAATTTCTTGATATTTTGCAGTTTGTAATAATTATCGGCCTTTCTTATGGCAAAGTGATGCGAAGCTATGCTTACCCTCTGTGTCTGAATTAGCGTTGGTCTTATGAAGTACAAATGATATTCTACAAATTGGAATTCAAATTCTTGGATCATTTCACAATACAATAGTTTAATACATTATTTACAGAATGTTTACAATTAAAAAATATTCTCAACCGAACGTCAACAACTGACTGACTTCTTTATACAACATTTTTAAAACATTAGGTAATCTTATTTTGATAATTTAACAAAAATTTTAACAATGAAGATTATTGAGCCAGAATTCGCCACTCAAAATGAGAATCAAAATAGCGAATTGAATTTTTTATTTGTGCCAACATATTTTCGTCTCTCGAAAAACAGTGTCCACCTAACCGAAAAAGACTTAAATTGCTTCCATAGATAAGCATATCTTCAATGTAAACTCGTTCTCCAGTGTAGTCGATACTCAATACTGAAAGTTGTTCTTGGTTGAATAGAATTTTCGCCAAAAGCAAGTTTAAAACTGTTGAACATGATTTAGTTACTTCGCCCAAGCTGATATTAAGCCATGATAAAGTAGACTCGAAATCCGCTAATAAATTTCCAATGTTTTCGAAAAAATGCAAAACTGCTTTAAGTTTTCGCGACTCCGATTCCAAGTTTAAAAATGAAATATGCAAAGCTTTCAAGCTTTTGATAGGCTTCAACAGCTTAAGATCTTTGGAATCAAATATTTTCAGTTTGAGAACGTTCAGTTTTGCGTATTGTGTGTGAGCGAATTCGCTTAGAATCGAAGGTGGTGTATCGTTCATTGTCAAATTTTCCAAATTTGGAAAATGAAATTTCAAAGCCTGGGCAAACTTTTTTTCTTCCTCTTCGACGATTTGTAGCGATAAGTTTAAAATATTAGGAAATAAAGGTTTGCTCAAGACTAGGCTTTCGAATATTTGAATGCTAGCTATTGACCTCAATCGAAGATCAATCAAATATTCGAAAGTGGATAAAATCTGAAACGTGCTTAAGTAATCAAAATAACCGATATTTTTCAAGTCTGTAAATGCAATGTTCGGACAGTGTTCCTGCAAATACTCGATTGATCTATCGAAGAGTTTTATTCTGCAAGCTGTAAAAGAAATAAGTTGGGAGTTTTTGGGAATATTTGGCGTTTTTGTAAATCGGCCAAGTAAGGCTCGATTTGAAATAAGTTTCAAACTATAAAGATTTTTAAATTGACTGAAAACAAAAGCCAGGTCAAAATGTACGTTTGAGTAATATTTTCCTGGGCTAAATTGGATATCTAGTTTTGTAACTTGTTCAAAAAATGGCGAGAGAAAATTAAGTTCGTAAAACTGGGATAATTTTTTGGCCACGTTAAACTCATAATTTGATGAATTGCTCGATTTAATGTAAAGTGAAATGTGACTAAAGACCCAATTTGATGAATCGCGAATCTTTTGACATTGTTTGTCGAGTGTTTCGATTTGATTTTGCAGGTTGTAAGTTGCAATAATTTTAAGCGCTAGTTTCACTTTTATTTGAGAATATTTGACTATTTTGTGCATTTTTCGACATGTAAGCATTAAATTGAGCAGGCTTTTTGTGCCCTCGGAAGAAAGCTCTGAATATGCTACGTACTGAGCTATCCATTCTAAGATGTTGAAATCCAGGTCGCAGATATTCATTTTGTTGAAGTTAATTTAAACTATAAAGTTTGATTTTGATTGATATGAAATATTGAATTTGGTATCAGACTCTGTGCAAGACACGCTATTATTCTTCAGCCAATTTGAATAGAGTCAATGGAGTAATTTTCCAAGTTGGTTTAGTGACTCTGCTTTAATGCAATCAACGCAAAATGACGCCAAAGTTTTCTTACATATCGGCACGTTGGTATGTATTTGATTGACAGGTTTAAACAGATCCAGACAATTTTAATGAAATTAAGTTGCAGGTCGAAGCATGTCCAAATGTTACTCTCTGTATCTGCCAGGTAATAGATAAGAAATATATATTTGCGTTTTTGCAAATACCAAAATCATTAATGGTTGTAAGTCACATATAGGTGCTCCAATAAGTCGTCAATAACATGTAATACTATATGAATTTTGAGTACCAAATTTGCACGTGTTCTAATATATGAGTCATCCAAAGTAAAGCCCCTTTGAAAAAACGGATGTGTTATATTTTTTTCACTATAGAACGTGCTATATGATGGAAATGGCAATACATTTTCCAAGGCGGCCTTTGAAATACGTAGCTGTTTGTATTGGGGAGTTGGAGTGGATATTTAAGTTCAAATGGATTTTTTTGTTTACCAAAAGGAATATTTTTTCCCATGACTCACAATTGTCAGTCTTATGGTGTAAGCTATAGCTTCCACATTTGAATCGATAGTATACATTCAGGAGGTTCCTTGCTAGGTAACAGGGGGGGGGGGGTGGAGAGGTGCATGTTGGATAGTTGAAGAGATCATTTTTAGCAAAAGTTTTTGTGATTACTACAATCAACGAAGTATCAAAATCCTTTTAATTAGAGGATTTTTTCCTTTTTAAAAAATTTCTTTAAACCTGATTTGTATGTTCTTCGGATTAAGATATCCGTTGCAAAACGATACAAGCGACGAGCCAATTGAGGCTTTATTGTTGTCATTCAACAGTAAGGATTCAATTTAAAATAATCATACTATACTAGTGCAACCTAGAACTAAATAGGGAATCCCACATTCTGAAAGCATATGTCATGGGAGTTTAATCGGGCTAAATTAGAAGAGAAGACAAATGAGCCGTCAGCAGCAATGTTACAAATCTTGCTTTGACTCTTATTACACTTGCGAAGCAAAGTGTATTAGTATGAACTTTCTTTTTTTCCATCCTAAGTCGCAAATATTGGTGCCACTTTTGGGGCACCTTTACATATTTTTGATAGGATGTGCTTTGACATTCGAAACGTAATCAGGTAACTTTAATGATGAATTTTTTAATTTATCAAATAAAACGAAAAAAGCTATTTGGTTCAAACAACAACAATAATAAAAACTCGATTTCAGAATTTTTCTAACTCAATATCTCGCAATTTTTTGAAATACATAATTTATACATAATATGGCTTCATGCTTTCCGGTTTGTAACATGCAAAGTTAATGTGGGTGCCTTCAGCTTAATATTTTCTAAATTATTACTTGCAAAATTGTGTCTATTTATATTTGGTGCCAATTTTGCTGAATTGCATTGGCAATTTATTAGCATATTAATTTATTTAAAGTATTTACACCATTGTGGTGAAGGGATTTCTCCCCGTCAAAACAAAGTCAATTGACGGCAAGTTGCACAGAGACACAGTATTCTCCAAGAACACGAGTTGAGTTCGTTGTAGTTGTTCATGAAGAAGTTCCAATAGTATTTCAGCAGTCGTTTCTTGAGTGTATTGAAGTCGAGAACATTCACCGATGTGTGCAGAATATTTGCAAGTCGACGTGTACGGTACTAAAAATTGTGCCTTGATTTTTCGTAGTTCACGTGTTTAACATCAAACAACTTATGGCGACCAGTCGAAAATGTTACGTAACCATCCCACTTAAAATCGTATTTCCCATTGACACTGATAAGGCGCTGATATGTATCTGCTTTATTCGTGACTAGTGTATGTCGGCGATTAAGCGTGCGTGGCTGAGTGTTTAGCGCGTAAGATTCAAAATCTCTTGATTGCAGTAGGTCGCTGATCGAATCCTAGACCTAGCCGAATTTTTGCTAATTCGAGGCTTCTATTTTGTTTCTTTTTGCTTTTTTTAGAGCTGCTTTTTGACGTTTTCTCAGAAGTGTTTGCAAAGTGCAGCTTCGCCTCTTTTTAGAAAAGATGCGTTAAAGTTTTGTGAGTTCAAGTGAGTTAAACAAAATTGGGCTTTAAAAAATTCTATGCCAGTATGAGTTTACATTAATAGGTCGTGCTATTTTTTTTCTCTTTCGAGAAAAGTATCTTAGATTTTGATCACGTTTAGTTTTGAATTAATTTTTCGATGCATCTGATAAAATGAAGGATTGTATTCCTTCTTCAATTACATAAGTACAAATGATGCAGAAATGTGAATGACTTTTCCTTTCGACATTGGATTTCTTATTTTAGATTTCCCAGCGGTATAGAATTTCGCCTGTTGATCCAGACTTTATGGAAGTTTTTTCAACTTTTTAGCTGTTTTTTCT